ACCTCTTGATACTTCCTGCCTGTGTGACCATACTGTGCCTTGGTATCTCATCTGAAAAACAGAAGAACAATAGTTGCTACTTTATAGAGGTACAAGTAAATATAATATAGTCAGCCCTTCATATCTATATATTTTGCATCCATGGATTCAACCAACCATGGATCAAAAATATTTTTTTAAATGAATGGTTGCATCTTTTCTTCTTGTCATTATTCCCTAAATAATACAATATAGCAACTATTTACATGGCATTCACATTGTATTAGGTATCATAAGTATCTAGAGATTATATAAAGTATATGGAATGGGCGAGGCACAGTGGCTCATGCCTGTAATTCCAACACTTTGGGAGGCCAAGCAGGAGGATCATTTGAGTCTAGGAGTTCAAGACCAGCGTGGGCAACATAGCAAGATGCCTGCCTCTCCAAAAACTTTTGAAAAAATTAGCTGGGTGTGGTGGTGCATGCCTCTAGTCCTACCTACTCAGGAGACTGAGGCAGGAAGGTCATTGCAGCCCGGGAGTTTAAAGCTGCAGCAAGCAATAATTGTGCCACCACACTCCAGTCTGGATGACAGAGATGTTTTCTCTAAAAATAAATAAATAAAAGTCATCAAAATAAAGAAATAAATTTTTTATTCTTCCAAAAAAAGTATATGGGAGAATATGTGCTTATGTTATACATAAATACTATGCCATTTTATATAAGGAACTTGAGCATCCATGGATTTGGATATCTGAAGGAGGTCCTGGAACCAATGCTATGCAGATGTTGAGGGACAACTATATATGCAAAGCACTTAGCACAATGCTTGGCATGTAGTAAGAGCACAATAAATGTTAGCAATTAGTATTTATCCTACAAAGAACCATTTTTGAGATGAGGAAAACTTGAAGTTGAAAGAGGCCATGTAACTTTCCCAACGTTATTTAATAAATGAAGGGGTCTAAAGTTTTCTCTCAGACACTCTCCTCTATTGCCTCTACAGTGTGATTTGTGTATTTATGAACAAGGCTTGGGTGCTATAGGAGCACAAAAGAGTAGCATCTAACCCAGCCTTGTAGGAAGGAAGCTGGGGCATGCTTCTAGAGGAGGAAGGGCTTCAGCTGAGCCTCAAACATCAAACAAGAATAAGACAGAAAAGGAGACAGGAAAGAAGTAGAAGCTAGAGGTTGGGGGCAGGGCAAGGGCATTCTATCCAAAGATAGGAGCTTGTCAAAGGCATGGTGAAATGAGAAATAGCAGGTCCAGGGAACTGAGGAATGGGTAAGGATGGCACCAAAGGGCCACCTGTGTTGGGATTACAGCTTTTGCTCCACTTAGTCTATCAACATACAACTTGTGGAATACAGGATGATATCACTGCTTTCTCCCAACAGGCCCTTATCTTCGAGTTCACCCTCCAGTTAATCTTTGCTGCTCTGAATTAGGTTCAGAGGAGTAAATCCTCTCCATACTCCTTCTACTTTTTGAAAGATGAGACTTGCAGCAAATGTTCAGAGGACTGAATTCCCATCTCTATTCTACTGTACCCCTCTTAGCTTTGTGATCTATTTGTGGATGGCTCCCAAAATGTGCAAGTTCTCTCTTAACCACCTGGTATGGATTTGTCTTCTGTGCATTTAATATCAAGTTTTCTTGAATATTCGTCTCTTCAGTCTATGCCCCTTCTTGAGCTAGAAACATATGGAACTTTGTTCCATATGTTGGTTTACTCTCTGCTAAATAAAAATGGACTAGTTGCTTTTTCTAAAATAATCCCCCTTTAAAATTAAAAAAAAAATTCCTTTGTTATTAAGATTCTAGGGTTTGTCAACAAGTCTTTCTACACCTGTGATGACTTTATTATAGCCCTAGCACCAAGTAATACACCCCCCTACCACCAATGGTGATCCTTTCCCTGTGTATTAAACTGAGTTTAGAAGCCACAGAGCCTCTAGCAGATGCCTTACCAGAATATTCTTTTCCACCTCACATACCAGTCCCTCATTTTACCTGGGCATGCTTTGCAGCAGGCCAGCTTCTGCTTATGACTGGACCACACTGTAACATTTTGAGCACCATGTTGAGGATATTCTCACTACCAACCACCAAAATGGAGGAATGATCTTTCCTATCCATCCCCCTTTTCTCCTCTTGAACAATTTTATCTATAGGGTCTCCCTGACTAGAACATCAGCACAGTTGAAGGGACATTTATTTATTTATTCATTCATTCATTGTTTATTATTTATTTATTTACTTATATATAAAGAGAAACAGGATCTAGCCCTGTCACTCAGGCTGGAGTACATGAGCATAGCTCACCACAACCTCAAATTCTTGGGCTCAAGCAATTCTCCCACCTCAGACTCCAATGTAGCTGAGACTACAGGCACACACCACCATACCTGGCTTTTTTTTTTTTTTTTTTTTGGTAGATCCAGGTCTTTGTTATGTTGTTCAGGCTGGTGTCGAACTTGTGGGTCTAAGTGATCCTCCCAACTTGGCCTCCCAAAGCTCTGGGATTATAGGCATGCCTGGCTGAGGGAAGATTTTAAATGCTCAGACTTTCACTTTTAGGGAATGTTTGTGTCAGTCAATGGGACAACTAGCAGTAAACTCTATCCTCAACCATGCAACATTGCTAATTTTAATTGTTGTACGGGTACAGGTGAAGGTAACATTATCTATGCAGGAAAAGCAACTAATTCAGTATGACCCTATCAATCAACATATTGATTACATATTTGCTCTAGTTTGTGGTCTTAGTGTCTGTCAGGCAATCAACAAACACTTACTGAATGCATTCTGTGTTCAAGGTCATTCAACTTCCAGGGACTCTGGATCCTCAGAATGACATTCCTACTCATTGCAGCTGCTTTTTAAAATTCTGAACTACAATCTGCCCTGGCTTCTGTTAACCAGCTATTGTGCTAGCTGCTTGTGCTTTTTACTGCTGGCCTCCTGCCTGCGTGACTTCTGGTATCTAATAGACATCATCAGGTTTTTACTGTGCCCTCCTACCAGAGCCAGATTACTTAGCCCCATATCTTCCTCATTTTTCAACCCTCTGCCTGGCTGTGTGATGCCTTGTATTGCCTGGCCCTGACTCCTGAAAATTCTGATCCTGTGATAGGTCTGACTTGCCATATGGTCTGGTTCTTGTGCCCTGGCCCCTGAACTCCAGACTCTCATCTTAATATTGATTCTCAAATGCTTCACCAGCTGGCATTTACTTTCCCCAAACAAAAAGCAAATTTATTCTTGTTAGGCTAGCTCTCCAGCAGTGTGATGCTGAAAAGATCATGGAATTTATCTATGACAATCAGAGAAGAGCCACTTAACAAGTTGAGAAGGGCCATGTGCACATTGCCCAGGCATCCCTTAAAAGGGCTCCCTGAGAGTCTGGCCAGTGCAAAGCACAGCCTTAATCAAAATGAACTAGTCCTTATTGTGCAGCCTGCTGACAGCAAAATTGTCAATGGGATTGAAATCTCTACTTTAATCTATTGATAACAGTAATAGTAATAGTTTACATGTATTCATTCATTTATTCAACCAATGTCATTTAGTGCCTGCTATGTGCCAGCTACATAGTAGCTGTATGTATGTCTGTTCCTCCATAGACCTTACATTCTAGTGGAGAGGGAGAGAAAAATAAACATTTAAACCAAAAATTACCTAATATAATTTTATGAAGTTTCAAGTGCTACAATGAAAAGTAAACAAGACAATAGGATAGAGAATAACTGATAAAGATACATTAGATAGAGCAACCAAGGGAAGCCTCTCTGAAGAAGTGACATTTGAGCTCAGACCTTGATGATAAGAAGGTAGCCATGTAAAGATCAGGGGACAGATCACATTCAGACTGAGGGACTCCTTAAAACACTTCTCACTTACGTCTAAAATGAACTGAAGAACAAATCCCTAGGCCTCTCAAAATGTTGTGCTCATCAAGAACAACACATTTCAAACACATGGCAAAATGCATCCATTCTTAAAGTAGCATTTCTTATGTTCTGCATGGCTTCCATGGGCTTGGGCAATGGCTAATCTGTGCCACACATGAGCTGGCTGCATTTTATTGCTATATTCAGATTTCTGAATATAAAACAAAAGAAACCCTAGACACCAAAAGCATAGCATTGCAGTTACATGTTTGGATGTGAAGACTAAGAGAGGAAATAATAATTTGAGAAGCCATCTAATGTACACTAATATAGTGGTTTTGGAAAACCAGACAGACCTAGATTTGAATTCTGGCTCAAAAATTACTAGTAAGGTATCCTTGGGCAAGTCACTCAATCTCCGAATCTCTGTTTCCTCAGCAGTAACAAAATTTTATAAGGATCATAATGATAATGTATGTTTGTAAAAGTACTTAACATGCTTATAAGTTCTCAATAATAGTTGAGTTCTCAATAATAAAAGTCTCAATAATTGTTGCTTAATGTTTCATTAACAATCATCTGTATAAAATGTTAATTTGAGAATCCTCAATCTCCTCCATGCAGTTTAGAGCTATCTGGGTCCTGTGAGAACCACAAAAGAAGTATCAGAAATGGTAATTTGCTCTCATGTTCACTCAACCAGCAAAGGCCAGAACTCAGATTCTAATCCAGTGCTATCTAACCCAAGCACCATATTCTTAACCACTGCATTTATTGCCTCTTCATAATTAGAATGGTAAAAAACGTGGTCTGAAGACAAAAGAGAAAGTTTGGTAGAGGAAGCAGCTCTTGAAATAAGCCTTGAAATTTTTTAGGCTATGCATAGACTGAGAAGAGGGAATGGTATTTCAGGTAGAAAAGCAAAGCATAAGACATAGAAGTGGAAACAAACAAACAAATGGTCATGGATGGTCAGCCTGTGTTAGGGAAGAGCCCAAAAAATGTGAGATCACCAGTCTATCTCTCACAAATCTGGCAGCCCCCTCATTAAGCAGATCACTTTATGTTTTCTCTCTCTTTTCTTGCTCTTAGAGAATTAACTAACCTGCTCTTTGATCTCTTTTAGGCTCTTTGAGACTCTTCAGTCACTCTTCTGGTCTGTATTTGGCCTTTTAAATCTATATGTCACCAATGTGAAAGCCAGACACGAATTCACTGAGTTTGTAGGAGCTACCATGTTTGGAACGTACAACGTCATCTCCCTGGTAGTGCTGCTGAACATGCTGATTGCTATGATGAACAACTCTTACCAGCTTATTGCCGTGAGTAGCTTTGCTTTACAAGGGTGCCTACTTTGGTTTCAGGGTGGAGTAACATTGGCATGGCATCCATTAGAAGCTTAGTGAAAGAGTTTGTCTGCTTCAATTAATTTACATCAGCTTTCCTAGTTGCTACACTGAATTATTTCTTTCCAATGCAATTCAGTTTGGACTCTTAGTCTATTGCATCTTGATCATCTGATATAACTTATTTTAGTGAATAAGATTTCTAGCTACCTACTGAAAATATTTCTAAATTTCTGAATCCATTTTCTTGCCTCAGTGGAAAACTCAGGGTTCAAGCACGATTTGGCTACAACGTGTCACCTCACTCATCTCCAGGGTTAATTCGGCTGATCCGGTTCCCTAGGCAAGAGCGCCCTATCTCCCTCTTCACTGCAAACATCTCCTTCTGAAAACTAAGAATCCCACTGACAAGGATTGTCTTCTCAGAGAGAAACAGAGGGGAGGAGGTTACTTTTCTCCTATTTTAAAAATTAGAGATGGGGTCCTGATATGTTGCCCAGGCTGTCTGAAACTCCTGGCTTCAAGTGATCCTCCCACCTCAGCCTCCCAAAGTGCTGGGATTATATGCATGAATCACTGCACCCAGCCAGTGGCTATTTTTTAATTGAGTATATATAAGAAACTGTACTCCATTTATTTATGTATTATACTTTTAAGTTCTGGGGTACATGTGCAGAATGTGTAGGTTACATAGGTACACATGTACCATGGTGGTTTGCTGCACCCATTAACTCGTCATCTACATTAGGCATTTCTCCTGGTATCCCTCCACTTGCCCCCCACACCCCACAACAGGCCCTGGTGTGTGACGTTCCCCTCCCTGTGCCCATGTGTTCTCATTGTTCAACTTACACTTATGAATGAGAACATGCGGTGTTTGGTTTTCTGTTCTTGTGTCAGTTTGCTGAGAATGATGGTTTCCAGCTTCATCCATGTCCCTGCAAAAGACACAAACTCATCCTTTTTTATGGCTGCATAGTATTCCATGGTGTATATTTGCTACATTTTCTTTTTCCAGTCTATCATTGATGGGCATTTGGGTTGGTTCCAAGTCTTTGCTATTGTGAACAGTGCTGCAATAAGCATAGGTGTGCATGTGTCTTTAGAGTAGAATGACTTATAATCCTTTGGGTATATGCCCAGTAATGGGATTGCTGGGTCAAATGGTATTTCTGTCTTTAGGTCTTTAAGGAATTGCCATACTGTCTTCTACAATGGTTGAACTAATTTACACTTCCACCAACAGTGTTAAAGCATTCCTATTTCTCCACATCTTCTCCAAACATCTGTTGTTTCCTGACTTTTTAATCATTGCCATTCTAACTGGTGTGAGATAGTATCTCACTGTGGTTTTGATTTGCATTTATCTAATGACCAGTGAGATGTGCTTTTTTTTCATGTTTGTTGGCTGCATAAATGTCTTCTTTTGAGAAGTGTCTGTTCGTATCCTTCGCCTACTTTTTGATGGGGTTGTTTTTTTCTTGTAAATTTGTTTAAGTTTTTGGAGGTACGCTTAAGTAGAGTCCATTGCTGAAATTTTTTTTTTCACCGTCATGTTACCATTTAGATCATCAGTGCTTATTACCCTAGGCTAAACATAGTGAAGGTGTAGGATACGGGATCAATTCAGGCCTTGCCCTGGTTTTTCTGTCAAAGTAGATATCTAACTTAGTTTATTTTATTTTAATCTGTGTATAATTCCTAGAAACTGGGTTTTAGGAAAGGAGTCCTCATTACCTGAGGTCTGATTTAGTCAGGTATTAGTAAATTTGGATGTTCAGTTTCTAGTATAATGCTAGATTACCCCTCTGGGTCAGTCTGTTGCTGAAAGCTTTTGCTGTGGCAGAGATAGCACAGAATAAAAAGACCCAAGTCTTGTCTTCTTTTCTAGATGCTATTTCTCAGATTTTGTTTGCCACTGAGGAGTTATTTAGTCTGTATAAAATAAGCTCAAATTATTTGTTACATAAACATATATATGTATGTATATGTGTGTGTAAATATATATATATATATATATATATATATATATATATATATATATATGTGTGTGTGTGTGTGTGCACATGCACACACATTGTCCACGTCTTAAATATTATTGGTAATAGTGAATGTTTATGATCCATTTCCACTAAGGACAGAACCAACAAGGAATGGAGTAGGAGACTTTTGAGTTACATATTTGGGAGAAATTTCTAACTATAAATGTCAATGAAATAAATATATTCTCACAGGTGGGTCTACAGAATGTCTGTTATTGGAGAGTTTAAAAAATTAGGATATAAAATTGTCTGCTAGGATGGTTTAGATATTAAGTATTTAGATGGTAGAGAAGGGAGAGGATATAGTGGGGAAAAAAAAGATTTGAAGTTGATAAACTAGGGACTCTAATCCTGGCTGTCATTTATAACTGTGTGCCTTTAGTAACTTACTTTCCCCTCTTGAGCCTCAGTCTCTTTGTCCAAAAATTGAGAGTTTTGAAATCAATGATTTTTAATAACATTTCCAGCTCTGACATCCTATGAGTCTGGGTGCCTACAGATTAACAGGATAGGCTCACAACGTCCTTTCTGGCTCTGAAATAATGTTCTTCTATCGCATTTGAAATGAAATATAATTCAGTTCTATTCATTTATTCCCCCTCATTCAAACAACTAGGCCAAGAACTCTGATATGAGTTATGTTCACTCCTAGTCTATCTCTTTGAGCGGGAGAGGGAGGCATAGAATCTCAGGAGTTGACTTTTTCATCCCCTCTGCCTGGCATTCTATCCTTCACCTCTGCCAAAATGGCAATATTCATGCAAAGGCATTTGTAGTTTTCTCACTGAGTGTCTGACAGCTGATTGTTCCTTGTGACAGTAGAAAAGGGAAAGATTTTCTTGTCACCTAATGCAGGGTTGTGGTCCTCCTCACTGAGCTCAGTGACATTTTCTAGGAAGGGTGAAAATAATTACCACCAGCTCTCATCACCACCTAGTAAGTTTTGTTTTAATGCCACCTACAGCTGCACCCAAAAAAAACTTCTTGGTTTGGGAGGGAGCCAATGGTAGATGGCTTAAATGGGGTCTATGCCATCTCATAAATCTGAACTCATGGCCAACCATTCTGAATAACATCTTTGCTGCTTTGGGATATTACGGGAGTGTGTTTTTACCATTTGGAAATAGATTCAGTGGAATCCTGATACTGGACAACCTGATTCCAAAAATATCTGGATCTGCTTAAGTGGTAAGGACAAGAAGGTAGATTTAATTTCATTTGCAACAGCTCTGCTTCAGTACTGAACACAATTTGTACAAGGTTCTTGATATGGGGGGAAGGTTACAGAAAGGGAAACTGCTGAAGACAAATTTCTCCTATTTTAAAACATATCACAGGCTGATTCAGTCTAGGTAGGGTCTGAGTTGTCAATATGCCTCACTGAGAATCTATTTTGTGTACATTCTAGGACAGTGCTCCAGAACATCAGGCAAAACCAATCCCTTGAAGGGTTAAGCTCTTTGTCAATGTTCCATGCAGGATTCAGAGCTGCTGGTGATGTGGACATATGGCTCTGTAGCAATTTGCATTTCCATGTCAGAGGAGGCTCCACCTCAGTAGTGTATAGAGTTATGCTTAAGATAAAGTGAAAAAGGAATCCCTCCAGGCCTATGCTCTGTGGTCCCAGCATCAGCAGGTGAAGCTGGCCATATTGTATATTATTATTGTTATTGGCAATTAATGGTGATTTACTTCTCCTTTTATTCTTATATCTCCCTCAATCTCCTGATTACTCTCAATGACACTTTTTAAAATACATCTACCTTGTCACTGCTGTCACTGATGAATAGGCACAAGCTCCATCAAGCGAGCTGCCCTTGGTGCCATTTTAATCAGATTCATTCATTAAAAAATATTAGGTGGAAGATATAAGATCAATCCCACAAATTTCATTACCTTAGGCCATATTCCTACCCCCTACCCCACCCACAATGGACATCTCTGTTGCCTGAGATTAGTCTTTCCAAAACATAGTGCTCATAATCGTCTGTGATAAAGCCTCATTCAGCAAGTTAATAAGAACCCTTGGTTTCTTTGGCTGCTGTGGAGTATTTGTTCTAATGCTGAAAATAAGTAAAAAGCACTTGCCTCACTAAGCCACAGCTTCTGGATGACTTGGGGAGAGTCCAAATATATATAATTGGTTGTGTCCCTTAGGGTGGCAGCATTTGGAGGCCCAGATGATGAATGGAGTCTCCCACTGTGGAAGACATTGATGCAACTGAAGACATTCATCCAAACAAACCTGGTACCACAAGATAGCAGGAAAGACTAGAGAGGGCTGTTGCACACCGTCTAAATGTCAAGAAGGGCAGGTGGTCTCTCCGCCCATATCCAGTCATCTAGGACCAACCTCAGATTCTCAAAGCCGAGACTATCAAAGCAGAGACTCTCAAAACAGCACTTCACACACTCTACCATGATTTTTAACCCTCTAACCAGGACTGATAACCAACTGCTATGCACTGATATGGCTACTCAACTGTTAAAATATTGAAATATTTCCATACCAGTTGGTAAATAGCTACCACTCCAGTTGTACCTTCTGGGATACACCCAGACCTCCCTACAATCCAGCAAGTAAGGGGTAACATCTGGAACAGCCGGTAGAATCTAGGACTCTGTTCCAGAACTATAACTGGCCTCCATTTGGGTTTATTGGTTTCTTAAATAGCCTGAATATCACTACAGTAGGCAAAACCCTAAAATGTTCCCCCTAGATTTCCCACTCTAATCATCAAGACTATGAATATGAAGAGATATCACATTTGTGATTACATTGTATTACATGGTGAAAGGGATTTTGCAGGTGTAATTAAAGCTAGTATTCAGGGAGATTATCCAGGTAGGCCTAATCTAATCACATGAGTCTTAGAAGCAGAGTTTTCTCCAACTGGTAGAAGGAAAAGCACACAGATCTTACATGGTGGCAGG